ATCATTTAAATAATATAAAACATGATATTACATATGTCTGCTCAATTCCTTAGAAATGTGCCCCTGCACAGATTTCTATCCTATCTTTTTAGTTTGTTTGATAAGTTATTGTATTTTATTTTAAAATTCAATTACATGTTTATATGCACTAATAATCTCTAATGTTTTATTTTTTGTTTTAAAACATCAAAGATCCTTTACTGGCATCTATGGGATGGAAATCAAGACCCAAGTGATCTGCCCTGAAGAGATGTTATTTAATTTAAGAATTTCTTTTTTAAAAAAATTTTTTTATTCATTTTAATGAGAAAAAAGATAAAATGGCAATGAAAGTTTCAAAACAGGTCAGTGGGACAGTTACAATAATTAATACATTGCATATTACTGTCTTTGCAGTAGTTATTCAGAGGACAAGATGCAGACATGATATCTAAATAATGTTAGTACAAACCTCATTGAGCTAAGATAAAGTAGTTGTATATCGATCCTATCTTGTATACACATACATATATACATATGCATTAATAATCTCTAAAGTAGGTATATGTATTTCACTATAAAATGGTCCTTAACTTATAACCCCTTTTCTTGTTTCGTTTGTCAGAGTGGGTGTTCCATTGCTGTTAGAGAAGCTGTATTTGGAAAAGTCTTTAAAGGATCTTTTCATACTTGATGCCAGACCAAAGATTGTAGGTACTTGAATGCAGCAAAATAAGCCAATATAGTCCGATAGTCCATAATAGTAATGAGTTACCAGCACAACTGGCTATTGTCCAAATTTGTTGACTTGAGCCTTTTACAGCTCAGCATATTGATATAGCTTTACTTTTTATGCCTCGTGATTACACTTTCCTGCTGGATGGCTAAGACCAAGTTAAAAGACCTATATAACTAAATATGTAACTTTTGCTATCTGATAAGGTCAGTCAAATCCCCTCAGGATTTACCCTGGAACTATGTACGCATCTTTCTTTACAGTTGGTAACACTGTATGCACTTACATGTTACTTGTGAACTGAATTGATTGACAGTTAGCAAGCTCTTATCATCAAGGCAAAGACAAAAGTTGGAGTAAAGAAAGACCTTGATTGAAGTTCTTGCTCCTCCTTACCGCTCCTATGAGTTACACAATGAGAAAATCGTTGTCCTGAGTCTTAGACACCATGTGTGTGAAATGGTCAATTAAATCTATCTTGAAGAATGCTGTGAGCATATTAAATTAAATACATACACAGCGTTTGTCATCCAGTAGGTACAAAAACTAAAGCACTACTGAGATAGTAGAATAAGGCAGGGCAAAGTGGCTGGGGAAGCGGATGACTGGTTAATTACAAAATCCAAGCAGGCATGTGCTGAACCATCCCCCAAATCCCTGCACATGGGACAAGAGCATGCTAGCTAACTTCTACTGTCCTCAGGAGAACTAGAACAAGCTTTGGACAGGCTGACCTAGAATTGACACCAGAATGAGGAGACACAAACACACAGTTGCAACTGAGTCCTCCACTGCTGTGTTCTCTCTTTCTCAGTCAGTAGTCTGCTGTCAGGATGTACACTGCTGTCTTCTTTTACTTGGCACAAGCTTGCTCTGCTTCATTTCCCACCTTTAATAAGCAGAAATCCTTGCTACCCTTTGTGCTCATTTTGTCCAATTCTTTGTTCAAGAAGAAGACCCTAGCAACCACCCCTGGAAGGAGATGCCAAAACCCAATAACACTTGTGTTAATTATTATTTTTTAACCAATCCTCTTATGTTGTGCCACAATTTTTAATCCCTCATTTTGTAAGTATAAATTTTAACTGATACATAAATGTTACACACATCTACAGTGTATATTTCCAACCCTCTCTTTTTACTCAGCTTCTCACTTCTAACATTCCACTCTGACAGTCTGCTAGGGGACCTCTTGACATGGTCCCCTGCCAGCCAGCTTTCCCTAAGCCTCCATGGGCCACTAAGCTCCTGTCCACATGGCTGGCTGGTCTGTCAGATCAAGTTGCCCAATTCATCTGACATCACCACAGCTTGCAAATTCCAAAATCACTGCTAGTACTTCAGATGTGGTAGTGTTTATGCCTGCCCTACAAATCACAGGATGGTGTCCTTGTTTATATGCAAGGTGCATCAGGCATAGCCCAGCATTTAAAACTACTTCTGAGATACGTTTTCAGAGTAATCAAAAAATAAATATGAAAACCAAGAAAGCCATGTCTGTGTACTGTTTACTTCCAAAAGGTATCTACACATGCAGGTAGTATAGATAGCAGGATGAATTAGCATACTCAAGGGTGTTCATGGAGACAGATGGATTTTCTTCCCTCATGACTTTCATCCCATGGGTGAGATGTTGTGCCAGGCACTATGTGTTTTATCTCAGAATGAATTAAATTATTTCCAAAGTCTTATGCATTCTACAAGAGTAAAGGGGTGTTCTTGCAATTTTCAAATCTCTATGACCTCTTTCAAACTAAGGCAGTTTCTAATAGGAAAGACACATTGGATGTTGCATGTGTGTATGTGTACACAGATACACATACACACACACATATACACACATGGACTTTGTAACATACATATGCATCAGCTATGACAAGAAAGCAGCCAGCCAGCCACAGTTCCTAAACTACAGAATAGTACAGGTCGGGAAGAAAGGATATTTCTCAGATGATGAGCAGGGCCAGTACCCATCCCCAAATTCACCACAGCCCTGAGGAATGTGCTGTGGGTGCCCATGGAGCAGGTTGCCACACCACACCAGAGCCTTGCCCTCCTTTCTGCCTTGAGTCAGTTAGCAAGTGTCCCCCCTCTACACCAGCTCTGGGATCAACATTCCACGTGGGAGGAAGTTTCACCTTCCCTTCCCCCACAGGGAAATAGCTTTTCTCATCCTAAGGGTTCCAGGCACACTCACAATGGTGACATTTGCTGGGCAATGGCTGGAATAAAGGGCTCTCAGAAAGCAGGGCGGTAACGTGAGGCCTCGGCTAGCCCAGGAATGCTCTGGGGAAGGACCCTAAGCCTCTCAGTGAATTGGAGAATAAAGAAAGCCACAGCAGAAGAGCCGGCCCCATAGGGTCTTGCAGCCTGACCTTGACAGCACCCTTTGCCAGAACTGAGATGAGGTAAACAAAATATTGGCTACAAGAGGCTCCTACAAAGAACTAACATAAATCTTTTACTAGCCTTTAAATTATATTTTTCTTAAATGCCAGGTAATCTCCAGTACTCTGCTTCATAGAAAGTACAAGAAATAGGAAAGATTTTTTCACAATATGTATAGATGTAGAAATCTCTCTATCTATCTATCTATCTATCTATCTATCTATCTATCTATCTATCTATATATATATTAGAGTAAGTTATACAGAAGCCATACATTAATCTCTGGGGCACTCCATATATCTAAGTACTCAAAGAAAAAACTGCTGTTTCTCAATTTCTGCTCTAATCACAAAGAGATGTCTCTTCAGGGGACCGCTGTACCCTTGGTCCTGCTTGTTCCTAATACTGAAACAACAGCTCTGGTGTGGAGCGACTTCGCCAAAAAGGTGAAGGTGATCAAATCTGACCATTCCGCGTGTCCTGCAGCCCAGTCTGGGGGCAGTTTTATCTCCATCTCTCCAGACCAAGTACACGAAATCTTGTGAAAAACAGGTCCGTTTTTCACCTCCCCACAGAATCCTGCACTGCCCTGACATTAACACCTAAAAACTATTTCTTCCAAACATTTCAACATTAGAGTTACATAACTGCCTTTCATTCGAAGCCATTAATCAAATTGGGCTTCTCAAACAGCACCTAATTAATTCTGTAATTGGCTCAGATGATACCTTTAATGACTTCCACTAGGAAAAAAGAGGAAAAGAAAAGAAAAAGACAAAAAAATAAAAGTGTGATCATTGAATTTGATTTTGAAACTACAGGCGTTTAGTTTCCTCTTTCACCCAGAACTTTCAGATCGAGTTAAGCGTCGGGTGTGGCTTCAGGGAGGAAGGGGGAGGCGCAGGAGACGGAGGAGAAGGGGGAAGGGAACTTTTGCAAGAAAAGCCTCCGCAAAAGCATTCGTGATCCAATAGACCTGCACTTGGCGGCTCTCCAAGACCTGAACAAATTTCTTTTCTGCTGGGGAAAAGTTCAAGCACTGGAACTACGCCAGGCTTTGGCAAGTTCTGAAGAACTTTGGGGCGCTCCTGCCTCCCCAGGACTGCATCGCACAGATCAAAGCGGTGGCCCAGCTCTAAGCCGGTAAAACTCAGAACAAAGGCTAGCCGGGCGGAGAGAATTTCCTATGGATCTCGTCTAACGGTTTCCCCTGCACCGCTAAGTAGCCCTTGGGAGCAGTGATTCACGGCCAGTGACTCAACGGCCCCACCCCTCTCCCCTGGGCTTTCCCGGGCCACGCTCTGGAAGCTCCCGCCATCTAAGGCCAGAACGACCCCGTTAGACCCCCAAAACAAGACGTCCCCAGACCAGATGAAAAAGGCTCAGGCCGCAGCAGCCCCTCTTCCCTACAGCGCGTCTAGGTCCCGCGCTCTGATCTCTTGCGCCCTTTGTTTCTTTCCTCCGCGCTTTCTGATTTTCTGGATCCCTTAGTCCCCTCTTCTTGCTCCCCTCGAGCGTCTCCCCACCCACCCACACCCAGCCGACCGCAGCCCAGCTGCCGCAACCCTCCCGCCTTGCGCACCTCCGCCCACGCCCCTTTGGCGCTGAGCCAGGGAACCCTGAGGTTCGTTTTCCCGCATCCTCGCGCATGGGACCCTGCCTTTTGCAGCACCCAGGGGTAAACAGAACTTGGGCCACCACCAAGAAAGCCCCTGAAAGTTCCAGCCCAGCCTAAGAAGTAATGGGATTGCGCTCACTCGAGGGAGCCCGGGCTGCAGCAACCCGCCCACCTCCCCGCTTCTCGCCGGGTCCCCATTGGCTGGCGCGCTCCGCCGCTAGGAGGGCAGTGGGAGGGGACCCTCTTTCCTAGGCGGGTTATAAAAACAGCGCCCTAGGCGGGGTCTCGTCCTCTGCCACTCTTGCTCCGGGGTCTCCGCGCCAGAGACAAGGCAGCGCTTTCCCGCCAGCACCCACCTCGCCCTCGCTCGCTCGCCTCTGCTCCCGGAGCCGATCGCACGGCCCACCGTCACTCTCCCTCCGCCGCTATGTCCTCCAGGTCCGTGTCCTCGTCCTCCTACCGCAGGATGTTCGGCGGCTCCGGCACCGCCAGCCGGCCGAGCTCCAGCCGGAGCTACGTGACCACCTCCACCCGCAGCTACAGCCTGGGCAGCGCGCTGCGCCCCAGCACGAGCCGCAGCCTCTATGCCTCGTCCCCCGGTGGCGCCTATGTCACTCGCTCCTCTGCCGTGCGCCTGCGGAGCAGCGTGCCGGGGGTGCGGCTGCTGCAGGACTCGGTGGACTTCTCGCTGGCCGACGCCATCAACACCGAGTTCAAGAACACCCGCACCAACGAGAAGGTGGAGCTGCAAGAGCTGAACGACCGCTTCGCCAACTACATCGACAAGGTGCGCTTCCTGGAGCAACAGAACAAGATCCTGCTGGCCGAGCTCGAACAGCTCAAGGGCCAGGGCAAGTCACGCCTGGGGGACCTCTACGAGGAGGAGATGCGAGAGCTGCGCCGGCAGGTGGACCAGCTCACCAACGACAAAGCGCGCGTGGAGGTGGAGCGCGACAACCTGACCGAGGACATCATGCGCCTCCGGGAGAAGTAAGGCGATGCCCTGCACCTCGCGGGCCCCCATTGGGTGCGAGGGAGGGAGCTAGAAAGAGGGATCCTCGCCAAGGGCTGCCACGCCCTTGGGCAAGGCCGCCGGGGGGAAGGCGAAGAAACTGGGCTGTAGCTCCGCCCTGAGCCCAGACCTTGCGGCCAGCGTTTCCCCTATGCAGCCCCCATAGCCCGAAACTCCTCATTTCCAGTTACAAGGCTTTTAAGATTACCATATTAACTGTAGCTAAAGGTCCTCGGACCCATTAGATTCCCCTAAACTTTCAGAAAGTTTCCTGGCCCCTTAGAGCGGGCTGCCAGGTACCCGACGGGAGGAGGGAGGGCCGCTGGCTGTGAAGCTCTCCAAACAAAGGGAGGCCGGGGGCTTCTCGGGGCGGGGCGGAGCGGGGTGGGGTCCTGCGGATCTGTCGGGCAACCTTGATCGCCTCTTTGCATTGTGCCCTATTTGAGCTAAAAGATGAGGGCAGTGGTTCTGAAAGCCACAAGTCGCGGGTGCTGGCGAGGGCGGGGCAGCAGCTCTGGTCTGGAAGAGCAGCGACTGCGACGTGGAGTTGGGTGTGGCCGCCCCGCCCCTGGCGGTTTCCCAGTTCCCCTTTGGTTCATGTGCAACTTTTTCAGATTGCAGGAAGAGATGATGCAGAGAGAGGAAGCCGAAGGCACCCTGCAGTCTTTCAGACAGGTTTGTAGACTAGCTTCTCTTCCCATTTGTTGCCAGCACACCCCGTCCGACCCACGCAGCCACCCGCAATTCTAAGTTACTTCACCCCACCCTCAAAAGTGCAAAACTTCACTTCCCTCTCTAAAGCCCCCTAGTGGCAAAAAGAATCCAAAGTGAGCTTTTGGAATAAAAACCCTTGAATGATTTCAGCTGTTCTTTGGGGCAGAAAGAAGCTTTTAACATTTTGTTTCAAGATTTTTGCATGACGTTCAGATTTCGAATAGTTACAGTTTAGTTTAGAATGTGATTTGCTTCAGCCACTTTGGCTAATTAGTACAAGTTGACAAAAAGCACAGTTAGGCCTTGTAGTTTAACTGTAAAGTATATTGGAGGATAAAAAACTTAGTTTAACCGGAATTAAGCCAGCAAATTTCTTTTTTCTTTTCTTTTCTGCACGTTCCATTGTAGCATTAAAGTTAAATGGTATCACTATGCACAACTATTTTGTGATCTAATAAGGGTGAAAAGGAGCCATCTGTCCCTGCTGAAGGGTATTAATGGTTTCTATGGACTTCACAATGGAATGTAGATACAGAAGTTCTGGCAAGTGTGATGGCTCTGGACAGAAATAATAGCAAGCTTTGTGTTCCCAGAGCAGCCCCTCAACAGGCTACATTTTTATTGAATATGTAATGATGTAAGCAGAGCTCTAATTGGACACAAGTATTTGCTAACTTCCGTTATCTAATGTCTGGCCCAGATTTGGGAAATATTGTGCGTGAAAAGTTATTAAAACTATAATCACTCCTCACATGTTGAAATGCCTTTCTTCTTCGCTGGGTTTTTATATTCTTTAGCACTTTCTCCAAAAATTAAAATAAGCCCAAGGCTAAAGACTGGAATCTTCTAAAAAGGTTTTCTTTTTGTTGTTGCTATTCCAAAGTTAGATGAACTTCAGGGATGGTTAATTTCAAATTGGAATCCCAAGGAGGGAAGATTCCTAGCATAGTTTTATTCTTAGGAATGTTTGCTGAAATTGGCTGCAAAATGCTGTCAGATAATTAGTTTAGGATAACATTTTGAAGCTGAAACACGTTTGCCAGATTTCCTGAAATGCAACAATATGAGTTCATTTTAGTCACTGAGCATTTATCGTCATTGTTCCTGTAAATTATTTTTGTAGAACAAGAAGTTAATAAAGCAAACAAATATAAAAAGATCCTCTGTTTACAAACTAAAATCTTCATTTTCTTAATTGAACTTTTAAAAAGTGCTTTCTAAAATATCTTTTATATCTTTATTAGAGTATAATAAGGAGCAAAAGTTGTTTCCCATTCCACTTATAATTAGTATTACCTTTTTTTTTTTTGTATTTTAGGGAAGGGTCTACAGGGTGCTCAGGGTCTCACTACTAGATCTGACTCATATTGATCGGCCTGTTTACAGCCTCCCAAGAGCTGGGATTACAGGCGCATGCCACCACGCCCAGTCCCAATTGCTGTCTCAGTGTGTCCCAGAGGTGGGGCCAGAATGGCAGACACAGGGATTGAACCCCCAGCCCCTATGCCTGCTTGTAGGCACTTTTGATCTGCTGAGCTATTTGGCCAGCCCAGTATTACCTTTAATTATTTATTATTTTTCCACAAAAGTGATGAAGTAGATCCAAGGCTATAAAAGACAGTTCAAATACAGTGGCTTACAAGATGAGGGCATAAATATCCTCATGTCATTCCCTTGAGAAGAAAGGAAATCTTAGTTGCAGGACTGCACATTCTGGTTTGGAATGTAGCATTTGATAAATGATACAAACATAAGGGTGTAACATCAGCAAGAATTCTATATATGGTTTCACTGTGTTCCATGCAAGCATTTTGACCAGTCATTCTGAAACCAGCAAAGTAACGGAACCTGACAGGGTGACAGGTGAATAAGATGGACACACCCTTGGAGGATGAATGAAGGGAGTGTCAGGAGAAAACATTCACCATAGAAGGCCTAAGAAATGTGGCTCAGAGTTCAATTTCTTTTTTCCATGTTTGCTGGAACTGAACCCTTACCCATGTATTTCCTGAATTGGACCACTGGTTTCCTACTTGATACAAATCTTGTAACATGGATGCTAGGTAACTGAGCACTTGCCATGAATCCTAAGGATAAGTATCAGAATGCTTGCATGGAGGAAAAGAAGAAAGCTTGGGCTCATGCTCAAACTGTGGAAGCACAAGCTTTTTGTTCTATGTGTATCGGTGTATGCGTGAAGTTGTGAAGCCGGACCAATCTCTAACATCATCTTAGTACATGAAATTACAAAGACAGATGTTTAAAATGCTGAAACACTGACTATAGCTTTTAAAAACAAAACTTCACTGGCAAAAATGTTGCTTCAAAAAGAATTGACATTAATTGTGATGATGTACATTCATTTAATTTGTCTATTAGCCACCTTTGCAACAACATAATGGGTCCCAATTCAAATTTATAATTAAGCAAAGAAAGCACAGTGAAGTGACTTTTTTCCTCAAAAGTCACATCGTTTATCAACACCTTTCCTGTACTATAGAGACCAGGTTAATTGAAAATGAATCAGTGAGATAAACCATAGGGTTGAGCATTCCCTGTATCCTAACGTCTTTCTTTTCAATACAGGATGTGGACAATGCATGTCTGTCACGTCTTGACCTTGAACGCAAGGTGGAATCCTTGCAAGAAGAGATTGCCTTTTTGAAGAAACTGCATGATGAGGTAAGGGAGATGACTTCCCACAAATGAATGGGGGAGAAGCTGCCCCTGTGCTCCACACAGCTGACCTTCTGTCTGTCTGTCCTTTCTCAGGAGATCCAGGAGCTACAAGCACAGATTCAGGAACAGCATGTCCAGATCGACATGGATGTTTCGAAGCCTGACCTCACGGCTGCCCTGCGTGACGTACGTCAGCAGTATGAGAGTGTGGCTGCCAAGAACCTCCAGGAGGCCGAGGAATGGTACAAGTCCAAGGTAGGAGACAAGCCTGGGTGTGGAGAACAGAAGAGAAGCACCTCAGTCTGACAACATCACACCTGTTATCTGGGATTCCCAAGCCTCCTCTACTGCCACTCAAAAGCTGGCTTGGTTGTGTTCACATTTGGTTGTCACAGCCTCTACCACCATGCAGTGTCTCTTTTAAAATAGCAGATTCATTCCCACCATCCTATACCCTACCTCAAAGAGATCCCCAATACCACATCCTTCATGGCTACCTTTTTTTTTTTTTTTTTTTTTTTTTAACACATCTTTTTGAGACCGTTTCACTCTGTAGTTCAGGCTGGCCTTAAATTCACTACACTGGGGTGTAGGCCTCCAGGTTCATCCACTGAAGTGCTGGAATTATAGGTGTGCACTGCCAGGCTTGGCTTTTTACCATTTTAAAATGAACAGAGAAGAGTTAATTATGTTTGAACATATCAGCAGGGCCGGGGAGATGGCTCAGTGGAATAAGTGCTTCCCTGGCAAGTGCCAGGGTCTGAGTTCAATCCCTGGGTCCACCAAAACAAAGCAAAGCAAAACAAAACAAAACAAAAAAACCTGTCAGCATTCAGTGTTCTTTCTCTGGCTTTCAAAACACATCCAGCCATATTCCTGACAGCACAGTCAGAATTGTTTTGTTCCCTATGTATTGAATGTGGGCCATCTCCTTTCTGATTTCTCCCTGACAGTTTGCTGACCTCTCCGAGGCTGCTAATCGGAACAATGATGCCCTGCGCCAGGCCAAGCAGGAGTCCAATGAGTACCGGAGACAGGTGCAATCCCTCACCTGTGAAGTGGATGCACTTAAAGGAACAGTGAGTACTGCACCACAGCAAAAGTAGGAAAACCATGAGCTTGGACCCATTGTGTCCAATATATGAATATAAATGTGTATTTTTATCTAAAGAAAAAGAGTTATCAAGACTCTTCCAAAGCACTTGATGGGGTGCTTGGACCAGAAGATCTAGGCTTATATACACCACTGCTTCCTGTAGGAGGGACTTGTATCTTCCATATGAAATTAGAGTGGGCATCATTTTCCACTAAGGGAAATCATAGCACAGTCTGCAACTGACACTGCTCATAGCTAGGTGTTTCTAGAAACTAACATCAAAAACCCTTCTGACCTCCTGCAGAACGAGTCCCTGGAACGCCAGATGCGTGAAATGGAGGAGAACTTTGCTGTCGAAGCTGCTAATTACCAAGACACTATTGGGCGTCTGCAGGATGAGATTCAGAACATGAAGGAAGAGATGGCACGTCATCTTCGTGAATATCAAGACCTGCTCAATGTTAAGATGGCTCTTGACATTGAGATCGCCACCTACAGGAAGCTGCTGGAGGGCGAGGAGAGCAGGTATGGAAGCCAGATTTTCATTAGGAAATCAACATTTGCTAGCTACCTGCCACTCGCTTTATGTACATTGTCTCTCTCATTCAGTCTTTCACCTATTTCTTCAGGGTCATTCCTTTCCACTTTTTAGAGGTGAGGTACCTTAGAGCCACACAGAATAACTTGCCATAGTCAGCTAATTAATAGCAGTGCTAGGATTTAAACCCACAATGTTATCAAAGCCAACAAAAGTGCCTCTAGTTCCCTGCAAGTGCCCCTGTGAAGAAAATGCTTAAAGTATTTTAAGTGTACTGAGACTAACACTGGCTAAATGATTCTGAAACAAATTCCTAGCTTATGAATCACAAGAGTAGAATTTTATTTGAGGAAAAAAGGAAGTGTAGATTTGTCCCTTGTTAAAATTATTTCCCGGTGGTTCCCTGGCAAGCGCAAGGGCCTGAGTTCAATCCCCAGTTCCACCAAAAGAAAAAAAAAAAAGGAAAAAAGAAAAAAAAATTATTTCCCAATAATGTTCCTTTATTTATTTATTTATTTATTTTTTTTTTATAGGATTTCTCTGCCTCTTCCAAACTTTTCTTCCCTGAACCTAAGGGGTAAGCATTTTGTTACCTTTCATGAAACATTCCACTGGTCATTAGCATTCTATTTATGGTAAAACACTCATTTTTGTGATACATAGAAAATGCCATGCAAGAGAAAATTCTATAAAATATCCTTATTTTCAAATTCAAGTCCTCTCTTGCACTCCATGTTGGCAGTTCAGTGTCAACTCCATTTTACTTCATCCTAATAAAGCACACACTAAAGTACTACCCCATCCTAAGGCTAAAGTCACTGGTATTTGGTGCTGGATTTTCAAACAGATACAACTTTGCAGACTTATTTGGAAGTAGCATTTTTAAATATTTACAAAAAATATAAACAAACAAAATCTGAATTTTTTTTTTTCTTAATTTCATTTTTACTCATTGTGGACATGTTTCTTTCTTCAGAAACCAATCTGGAATCTCTTCCTCTGGTTGACACCCACTCAAAAAGGACACTTCTGATTAAGACAGTTGAAACTAGAGATGGACAGGTTGGTATTTTGAAAATAAAATAAAACAAAATCATTGGGAAAAATTTTTATGAAACAAATAAAAGTAAAAATGAAATATAAAAACAGTAATTCGTACAGGAACTGATACCTCTTTTAAATCAGCAAACCTGTATACATCAGATATAGCTAGGTAATTTGAGAGGTTCCCATTTCTTTTATGACTAAAGAAAAAAAAAAAACCTGAATTGGTCCTTATTCCAGTAACACATACTGCCAACTAATTATTTGGATCCTGAATATAAAGATAACAGTTCTTCTTGAGCCCCAAAATAGTGGGAAATGGTAATAATTTGTTTAACTTACTTCCTAGTCTAGCTTTGTGAGAGTACCTCACTAGACTACCCCAATATCCAGAGTGTTTTGATCCTGGACACATAGACCACACTTACCACCACCTAGGGGCACCTAATCCTGCTTTACAGTACAAGGAGGTGCCATAGGATCAGGCAAGTCTTGCTAACTCTGCCAGGAAAGAGATGTTTGTAATTTATTACAATTATGAAATCTTACCTTGCACATAGATCTAAAATGTACTTGTACATTTTAATGTGTCTCAATCGCTTTAAACTTTATGGCATAGGATTAGCATGGAACCTCTCATAAATAAAATTTTAAGAATTTTCTTTGTGTACATCACATTTCATTGACTACTTTTATGCCTGTAGGTGAAGGGTGTCTTACATATGCATCTGTCCCTCAGTGCTATAATCCTTGCCAGGAAGAGTGAGCATAACCTTTTAATTTGCACAATGAATTATGTGTGTTTAGTAGGATTTCTCCCTGACATAGCTCATAGGATAATTTTAACTTCTACATGGCATATCACATTTTGAGTGGAGTTTATTTATTTTTTTTAACAGGTTATCAACGAGACTTCTCAGCATCATGATGACCTCGAATAAAAAGTGCACATCCTTTGTGCAGCAATATATTACCAGCAAGAATAAAAGAGAATTCCATATCTTAAAGAAACAGCTTTCAAGTGCCTTTCCGCAGTTTTTCAAGAGCGCAAGATAGATTTGGAATAGAAGTAAACTCTAGTTCTTAACAACAAATACTCCTAAAAGAGTTAGAAAAAAGTTTACAACATAATCTAGTTTACAAAGAAGTCTTGTGCTAGAATACTTTTTAAGAAGTATTTTTGAATACCATTAAAACTGCTTTTTTCCAGCAAATATCTGACCGACTTGTTTCTGCTTCAATAAATCTTTGGAAAAACTCCTCTGCTGTGTTATTTATATTATACTCAAACAATTCTGCCTTTGGCTTTATTGCTTAATTTTCCACTACAATTATGCTTAGGTTTAAAGTTAATAAATTCACCTCTTTTCTGCTTGAGGTGCAGCTTTTAATTGGGTCATTTTAAATAGAATTCACTTCTTTTTAATTGTTACGTTTTTAAAAGAATTTACACTGAAAGTGTAGTTTGGTGGTAGAGCACATGCTTAGCATGCATGAGGTCCTAGGTTCAATCCCTATCACCCCCAAAATAAAAATAGATGTGCAGATGGTCCTCAACTTAGGATGGCTCAACTTCTGGATTTTTTTTTTTTTACTTCACAATGATGCAGAAGTTATATGCATTCAGTAGAAATTATACCTTGAATTTTGGTCTTTTGGGGCTGCTGCTATGTGGGACAATACCACATACCAACCATCCAATCATGAGGGGAAATAATGAATGTCCCACAGTGCCCTGTGTTGGTAAACTGATGTTTAGTGAGGTAGCTTTAGTACATGCATTTTTATTTTATGATGCTTTTATGGTGAATTTACTGGAACACAGACAACCCCACTGTCATTAGATGGCTCTATGTGTAATCAAATCACTTGCATAAAAATAATGACAGTTCTTTAAAATGAGTTCAGCTGGTTCCATGCCCTACATGTGATTTCAATTCTAACAAAGTAACAGACTTCCTAACATGAAAAAGAAAATCTTTCTGGTGCCTGCAGCATACGAGTAGCGCAAATTCCACTGTGCAGTTTACAGCATCCAGCAATGGCTGAGATATTTGCTAGCAAGAATAGAATAGAATGGGAAAAGTTCCCTGGGTTCCAATTTATAAAACTCACCTGCTTTGATATATGTATAAGTCATATCTATTTATTTTTTTTTTCATTTTTGTCTCTCTGGTCTTCCCACCACAGCCATCCGTGCTATCATTCAAGGCAGTGCCTGTGCAGTAAATACATAATGGCTATTTTTTAGTGACATTGGTTTTTGGAGGATGATGTCAGACATAAAATAAAAATCTCTACCTTTTTTTTTTTTGAGAGATGAAATTTCTGCATGTGAATCATGTGGCAAACCGATGCTAACTGCAAGTGTAATAAAATCTCAAACCTGGAGCAATGGGAATAAGTCTAGTCATGAAGAGCCCCCCCTCCCAAGGCCACTACATGTTTGCAGGCCAAGGAGGATGGAGAAAAGTTGGATAAGAAGAAGAGGGGACATTTCTCCTGGAAGCAACAGAGTTGCAATGATTGATAGCATGTGTTCTAAAATTAAACTCCTCTGGGTACCTCCCTGGACTCTTCTTTCTCTCTAATTCCTGTATTATTACTATCCCCTCTCCTCTAGGAATAATGCAGCAGCTATTTGTTGTCATTATTCTGTGCTTGCATTTGCCTTATCTCATAAGGCAAAGATAGTTCACCCAAAGCCTGCTCCTCTTCTCTCCCCTGTAGGCAGTGATACTAGCTGGGATTTCCATCATTTTCTGACTAGAGGCACTGGAAGATTAAAGATCAGCTACCATACCAATTTGATTTGAAACTGTCTCATTGCTATTTGTTTCTCAATAAAATTATGGGAAAAAATAAATAAAGATCAGTTACCAGTGTGAGGCCTAGGTGACTCGCCTGGAATGGTCGGTCCTATTTTACCCCTTACGCATCAGCACAATTACTAGTAGTGCCTCTTCTGACTCACATGTGTGTCAGGTTGACAGGGCATTACCCCTGGCCATCCTATCTCTAAAGTTATGGGACAAGACAGGCTGTTAATTCTGGGATTCCTTGAGGATTCTTGGCCCCCTCATTCCTTACATTACAAAACTGCCATGTTAAATGGTATAATCACCATTATGGGTGGCAGCAACAACATCTTTAGTCCCCTAAGAACTGTTTCTATTTGGATTTTGTTTCTATCCTTTAGCCATTTTCACTACTGTTCTCCCTCAACCTCCTAATCTGATTTCTTCCACATCCTTTTCCATTTCTATACTCTCTTTGGCTTAGATTAAAGGCATCGCAGGAGTCCTTCAGGCCCGTGTTGCTCTTCTTTACACATATGAATCATTAGTATTAAAATAATTAAAGTGAGTCACAGTTTCATGTATTGGGAGTGAGTGGGTGGACACATCAGGACAATAAGGAATTCTGCTCAGACACACGTGGATTCCCCACCCTCCAAAATCCTTTACAGCTCTTTTAAAAATCACATTGCAGAAGTGGAACAAAATGAGTTGGCCTCCCTTATCTGTGGTTGTCAGAAATTAGACCTTAATGAAAAGCCTCCCAGGAGTCCATCTCATAGGAATTCAAATCTCGTTAAATCTCCCTTTATTTTTATCTTTAATTATATTGTTAGCATTTTCCTTATCATCCTCTTTGAAAAACTCACAAAAAGAGACGATGTTCTCACCACCCAGGGTGAAGCAGAGATTAATGCTTGGTTCTTTTGTGTATAGCACTAAGCCAAGATTAGAGGAGGTGAAAAAACAACAAGGATGGGGAGAAGGAAAAGATGACATAAAGCTGAAATGTGAAAAAAGGTACCCAGAGGAATGGGAAACCCATGGACATAATGGGAATAAAAGTCCCACTAATTTTCTCACAATAGTGACAGATGGAAGAGGCTGCTGAATAAGCATCCTTTAACAAAGATGCTAAGCAAACAAAATCTCTTTTGTGTGGCTGCAAGATGAGGGCAGTACAGGTGGGGAGGGACAGGAGAGGAAGAAGGAGAGAAGGACATCATTTCCACTTTAGCTATGATTTTGTGTTCCTCCAACTTCATGCAGTGAAATCTAATTCGTGAAATGCTGACATTCCAAAGTGGAGGGCGTGGGGCAGGTGATCCGGTCAGAGCAACGCTGTCACCAATGGGATTGGATCCCTTCATCAAAGAGGTCTCAGGGAGTTTACTTCCCTCCTCCAGCAGTAGGACACGGCAAGAGCCACCATCCGTGAAGCAGGGAAGAGGTGCTCACTGCTCAGAGTATCTGCTGGTGTCACGCTTATGGGTTTCCTGGTTCCTAAAACGGTGAGAAATTGGTTTTTGTTGTTCCTCAGTTATCAAGACAAACCCAGACTGAGATCCTCCTGGTCTTGAGAGAGGAAGGAAGGCAAGCACATTCTCTATCCTTGAAAAGACGGTCTCTCCACCCTGCCACACTTCAGCTAGCAAAAGCTCTGTATGCTTGTGATTATACTGCTATAGCCAAATACCACAGGATCATGGTGGAAGTACAGAAATTTACTGCCATACAGGTCTGGAAGCCAGGAAGTCATCCTGTGGTAGCAGGATGGTATAAGAAACCTGAATACTCTTACCATTGAGTCGATGGTAATAAGTCTTTTTTCAGAAGAAAAAACAAACAAAACAAGAACAGATGATTTCACAGTGGAGTCCTACTAAGTATATAGTTTAGAGATTCCAAATCATCATAAACACTGCCAGATCATAAGATGAAGGAATATTTTCTAACTCATTATATGAAGAAATTGGTCTTAGTCCATTTGTGCTGCTATAACAAGAGAATACCTGACACTGAGTAATTTACAAAGAGTAGAAGTTTATTTCTCACAGCTCTAGTTGTTGAGTCCAAGGTGTGAGCCACAGCTGGTTAGCGTCTGAGGAGAGCCTGGTCTCTGCCTCCCACATGGCCCCTGGTTATTACCTCATCTGGAGGGGACACCATGTCCTCAGACAGTAGAAAGGGTGGAAGAGGTGCAATGGGAATGAACTCCACTGTTGTGGTCTTTTAAGGGGCACTTAATCCCTTTCACAAAAGTGAAGCTTTCACTCAATCACATCCTACAGGCCACACCTCCCAATTGGGGATTCATATGGATTTTAGAAGGTACACAAACAGGAGCATGATCTTAATTCCAGCATCACACAAGAACACAACAGGAGATGTGCAAGACAGGCCAACTTTATTCATGGCTATAGAAGTAAATGGCAGAAGTCAGCTCATGTTGACAAAAGTTCTTTGAAGAGCAGAAGGTGAGATGGGATGTTCTAGTGATGTATTGTGATGGGTAAATGGGAAGAAGAAGTAAACAGGTGGGCCCTGAGTCTGTCAGAAAAAGGAGAGGAAAGAGAAATGGAGGAAAAAGAGTAGGTTCACACTGCAGTATGGAGGAAATTTCAGCTAGATAAGTAAAAGATCCTCAAATCACTCGTATTAGAGTTGTCTCCTGGCCCATGGCCATGCCGCTCACCTGCAGTCCTCTCCCGGCCCACCAACTTCACCTTGTGCTGTCATTGGTTCAGAGCAGCCCAGGGAAAGGTGTTCTGACCAAAACGTGGTGGGAACCCAGAGAGGTGGCACAAGGAACTGCCGGCTAATTTTGCTCCCAGAAACAGGAGTTTTTAGTGATACATTTTAAGTCTATATGCATTATAAATGCATTAAAATAATACATACATAGGGAATAGCTCAGAAATGCAGATCGTTTCAAGGTCAACTGACAGAATTTAACACTGTAACAGGTTAAGAGAGAAAACAATATGACAGAGAAAAATAGTCTGGCAAATTCCTCAACTAATCATTAAAAATCTTTTTAAGAATTTTATAGAAAAATAAAAATGAAAAAAGAAAAAGAAAAATAGAAATATAACATCTTTCTTAACTTGATAGGGAGTACCTATAAAAATCTATAGTAAATATTTAAAATTATAAAATAACTACTCATCAAAAGCAACAAATACACCACTGTTAGAGTTTAGATACAAACTGTCCCTGAACTCCAAAAGCCTCACCTGTTCTGAGGTGCTGCTCTGGGAAGGCGGCTAGTTTATGGGCTGACCGATTCATCAGGTGACTGAATCTCATCACTGGGTTAATCCATTAGTGATTTTATAGTTAACTGTGTAATTCAGAGGTGAGTCCCACCCAAGAGATGCAGGAACATTCTTTGAAGAGTGTACCCTGTTCCCAGCCCCTCTCCGCCCTCTGGCTCTTTGCCTTTCTTTTGGCTTCTGAGCA